CTTCCCTTTACTGTTGGTCCCTGTATATTATCCTTTATTTCACTTGTACAGCCTTCACTTTTTCCTTTATTTTGCATCAATAATCACATTCTGTGAGCATCCTGATTACCAGTGTTTTGAACTGTGCATCTGATAAGTTGGCTATCCCTTCATCGCTTAGTTCTATTTTTGGAGCTTTGATTTGTTCTTTCATTTGGGCCATATTTCTTTATCTCAGCACACCTGTTACATTGGGAAGAGCAGAACCTTAGGTTTTCGCCAGGCCCGGGCAACCCATTTTGCTGATTTGTGAAACTTTATGTGGGGGAGAGCTCAGAGAGGAAACAATGCCATTTGCTTGGCTCTTGGCCAGCTTTCAGTCATTTCCTCCTGCTACCCACAAGCAAAATTGGGCCCTTCTAGTGCTGATTCCTGGGTGGTTGGGTTTCTGTACATTCTAGGACCCCATGGGTCTCGCCAACAAAATCTCTTGTGAGGCTGGGAGTTTCTCCCGCTGCTGCATCCCCCACAGGTTTTTCAATCCAGAGGTTTTGAGGCTTCCTTTTCCAGCACTGGAACCCTGAATTGTGCAGTCTATCTCACTCCCCAGCTGTTCTTCCTGGTTTATCTGCGTGCAAGTATGGGACCTCCCAGCCAGCCGCCACCTTGCCCACCTTGTCCTCCAGCCACTACCTTGCCATGCGCCCTTTGGCCCTGGTTGCCCATTTCTGCCCCTCCTACTGGTCTGGATGAATGTTTCTTCTTTAACTCCTTGGTTGTTGGACTTCATACAGCTTTGGTTTTCTGGCAGTTCTGGTTTTTTGTTTTTAAATTTCTTTTTGTCCTTCCTTTGGTTGTGCAAGGAGGCAAAGTGTATCTACCTATGCCTCCATCTTTAGATTGTTAACATTTCCAATTAGATAATATTCTGGCAAAAATTACTAGTGCCTAAAAGAGATATGGTATTTCCATATGATAATTAATAAATGTTCTCAACTAAATACAGCAATATTAAATTTTCTGAGTTTGTTTCTTAAACCTAACCATATTTATTCTTTTTTATCTCATTACATTATATATATTACTTTAAGCCCTCACTGATTCATTTTATTGGACATATAAGTGAGCATATTTCTTCTTTAAAATTTTTAAATTTTTATTGTTGTTCTATTACAGTTGTCCCAATTTCCCCCCATTGCTCTCTCCTGCCCCCCGCAATCTACCACAGTCAATCCCCACCCTGTTGTCCATGTCCATGGGTCATTTATACTTGTACTTTAACTAGGCCCTTTCCCTCCTTCCTTCCCTTATACCCCCTTGCCCCTCCCCTCTGGTACCTGTCAGTTTGTTCCTTGTTTCCACGCCTCTGGTTCTATTTTGCTTGTTTGTTTATTTTTTCATTAGGTTCTTGTTATAGGTGAGATCATATGGTATTTGTCTTTAACCTTCTGGCTTATTTCACTTAGCATAATGCTCTCCAGTTCCATCCATTTTGTCACAATTTCCTTCCTTCATTCCTTCTTTCCTTCCTTCCTTCCTTCCTTCCTTCCTCTTTCTTTCTTCTTCCTATTGTGTAGCATTCCATTGTAAATATAGCACAGTTTTTTGATCCATTCATTTACTGATGGGCATTTAGGCTGTTTCTAGCCCTTGGTCATTGTAAATAACACTGCTATATACATAATGGTGCATAGGTTCTTTTGAATTGGCATTTCAGGATTCTTAGGGTATAATTCCAGCAGTGGAGTCTCTGGGTCAAAAGACAGTTCCATTTTTAGTTTCAAAATTTCCATTTTGAGGAAATTCAATACCATTTTCCACAGTGGCTGCACCAATCTGTATTCCCACCAACAATTCAATAAAGTTCCTTTTTCCCTGCATCCTCACTTGTTCTTTGTTTATTTGTTAATAATGGCCATTCTGACTGGTGTGAAATGGTATCTCATTGTGGTTTTAATTTGCATCTCTTTGATGGTTAGTGATGTTGAACATCCTTTCATACGCCTTAAGCCCTCTGTATGTTCTCCTTGGAGAAGTGTCTGCTCAGGTCCTTTGCCCATTTTTTAATTGGATTGTTTGTCTTCCTTGTGTTGAGTCATATGAGTTCTTTCCATATTCTAGAGATCAAACCTTTGTCTGAGGTATTGTTGGCAAACACGTTTTCCCATACAGTTTATACTCTTTTTATTTTGCTGATGTTTTCTTTAGCTGTGCAGAGCATTTTAATTTGATGTAGTCCCATTTGCTTATTCTTTCCTTTATTTCCCTTGCCTAGAGGACATATTGGTAAACATATTGCTGTGTGGGATATCTGAAATTGTACTGCCTATATTCTCCTCTGAGACTTTTATGGTTTCATGGCTTATGTTTAAGTCTTTTATCCATTTTGAGTTTATTCTAGTTTCATTTTTTTGCATGTACTATTTCAGACCTCTCAGCACCATTTGTTTTAGAGGCTATTTTTATCCCATTTTATGCTTCTGCCCCCTTTATCAAATATTAATTGACCATAGAGTCATAGGTTTATTTCTGTGCTCTCTATTCTTTTCCATTGATCCAGGTGTCTGTTCTTATGCCAGTATCAAACTGTTTTGATTACAGTGGTCTTGTAATAGATAGTTTAATGTCAGGTATTGTGATCCCTCCTACTTTGTTCTTCTTTCCCAAGATTGCTGAGGCTATTTGGGGTTATTTTTGGTTCCATATAAATTTTTGAAATATTTATTCTAAATCTGTGAAATATGTTATTGGTGTTTTAATAGGGATTGTGTTGAATATATAGATTGCTTTGGGTAGTATGAACTTTTTAATGATGTTGATTCTTCCAATCCATGAATACAGTATATGCTTCCATTTGCTTGTGTCTTCCATAATTTCTTTCTTCAGTGTTCTGTTTCCAAATACAGATCTTTTATCTTCTTGGTTAAGTTTATTCCTAGGTGTTTTATTTTTCTTATTGCTATAGTAAATGGGATGTTTTTCCTAATTTCTGATTCTGATATTTCATTGTTGGCATATAAAAATACCTTCAATTTCTGGATATTGACTTTGTATCCCACTATTTTGCCAAATTCACTTATTAGATTGTGTCGTTTTTTGGTAGAGCCTCTAGGGTTTTCTATGTACACTATCATGTCTTCTGCAAATAATAACAGTTTTACTTCCTCCTTCCAATTTGGATGTCTTTTATTTGTTTTTCTTTTCTTATTGCTGTGGCTAGCACTTCCAATACTATGTTGAATAAAAGTGGTAAAAGTAAACATCCTTGTCCTGTGTGTGATGTTAGGGGGAAAGCTTTTCGGTTTTGCCCATTGAGCCTGATGTTGGCTGTTGGTTTCTCATATATGGCCTTTATCATGTTTATCCCTCTATTTCCACTTTGCTGAGCATTTTTATCATAAAAGGGTGCTATACTTTATCCAGTGCTTTTTCAGCATCTATTGATACAATCATGTGATTTTTGTCTTTCATTTTGTTTATGTGCTGTATTGCACTTATTGATTTGCAAATATCATACCATACTTGCATCCTTGGGATGAATCCCACTTGATCATGGTGTGTGATCTTTTTAATGTATTGCTGAATTTGGTTTGCCTATATTTTGTTGAGGATTTTAGCATTTATGTTTATCAGAGATATTGGCCTGTAGTTTTCTTTCTTTGTTTTGTCTTTAACTGGGTTTGGAATTAGGATAATTCTGGCCTCATAAAAAGAGTTTGGGAGTCTTCCCTTTTCTTGAATTTTTTGGAGTATTTTGAGGATAGGAATCAGTTCTTCTCTGAGTGTTAGGTAAAGTTCACCAGTGAAGCCATCCAGTCCAGGGCTTTTGTGTTCCAGGAGTTTTTTGATTACTACTTCAATTTCACTCATTGCTATTGGCCTATTCAGGCTTTCTGCTTCTTCTTGATTCAGCTTTAGAAAATTACATGTTTCCAGAAATTTGTGCATTTCCCTCAGGTTGTCAAATTTCTTGGCATATAGTTGTTCATAGTAATTTCTTACAATCCTTTGTATTTACGTGTTATCAGTTGTAATTTCTCCTTTTTCATTTCTGATTTTATTTATCTGGGTCCTCTCTCTATTTTTCTTGATGAGTGTGGTTAAAGGATTGTCAGTGTTGTTTATCTTTTCAAAGACCTAGCTCCTGGATTTATTTATTCTTTGAATTGTTCTTTTAGTCCCTATGTTAATGAATTCTGCTCTGATATTGATTATTTCCTTCCTTTTACTTGCTCTGGGCTTTGTTTGCTGTTGTTTCTCTAGTTCTTTTAAGTGTAGTGTTAGGTTGTTTATTTGAGATTTTTTTTTTTTTTTTTTTTGGTAGGCCTGTATTGCTATGAACTTCCCTCTCAGGACTACCTTCGCTGTGTCCTATAGGTTTTGGAGTATTGTGTGTTCATTTTAATTTGTTTCCAGAAACTTTTTGATTTCTTCCTTGATCTCATTGTTAACCCATTCATTATTTAATATCATGTTATTCAGTCCCCATGTATTTGAATGTTTTTGAGTAGTTTCCTTGAGTTTGTTTTCTAGTTTCAAGCCATTGTGATCCAAGAAGATGTCTGGTATGATTTTAATTTTCTTGAATTTGTTGAGGCTTGCATTGTGACCTACCATGTGGTCTATCTTTGAAAATGTTCCATATGCCTTTGAAAAGAATGTGTATTTTGCCTCTTTGCAGTGAAAGTTTCTGTATATATCAATTAAGTCAATTTGATCTAGAGTGTTGTTCAATGCCAAAATATCCTTGCTGATTCTTTGTTTGGAAGATCTATCTATTGTTGACAATGGGGTGTTAAAATCCCCTAGGATGAATATGTTGGTGTTGATATCTTTCATGAAGTCCTCCAAGATTTTCCTTATACATTTTTTTCTTGTGTTCCTCTCTCTTTATCTTCTTAAAGCACTCCTTTTAGCATCTCTTCCAATCCTGGTTTGATGGAGATGTGTTTAGTCTTTTTTTTTCTTTTTTGGCCTGGGAAGCTCTTTATTTCTCCTTTCATTTCAAATAAGAATCTTGCATAAATACAGAATGCTTCACAAATTTGTGTGTCATCCTTGTGCAGGTGCCATGCTAATCTTCTCTGTATAGTTGTAATTTTATTATATGTGCTGCCAAAGCAAGCAGTAAAAGTGATTTGTTAAATGCTTGGCAAAATACAGAGTAACAGCCTGAGATCATATCGGGAGCCAGAAAGAATTGCCTACCCTTTTATTTTCTTTTTTAATGCCAGAGAAATGTCAACCTCTCTGAGTATCCATTTTATCATCTGTAAAATAGCTATAATACTATCCATATTACAATGTTGTTGTGAAGGAAAATAATCTATTAGAATACTTAGTTCAGCCCGGGCTGGCATTTCTCAGTGGACTGAGTGCCAGCCTACAAACCAAAGGGTCACCGGTTTGATTCCTAGTCAGGGCACATGCCTAGGTTGCCAGCCAGGTCCCCAGTGAGGGGTGTGTAATAGGCAACTACACACTAATGTTTCTCTTCCTCTCTTTCTCCTTCTCTTCCTCTCTCTCTCTAAAAATAAATAAAGTCTTTAAAAAATAGAATATTTAAGTGTTTCACAGACTTTGCTTTTTTCTTTGTCTCACCCCATTATGAGTTGTCTCAGATAAAATAATTCATAAATCATTTAAAAATACACTTTGTCGATTTCTCTGTTTTAGTGGTTAGTAATATAGTTTCAGCATTGGGACCCTGCCAGCCCTTTCATGATCCTTTGCCCAGTAAATTCATCCAAAGCAGGAATTGTGGTTGCAATGCTAATAGGTACCACCAGGTGGCAGGCCATCCTCTTAATTGAAGGATCAGTACGGTCACAGAGGTAATGGTTACCAACTAGATTTAGATAATGAAGTCTTTATTTCCTGCTGTGAAGAATTTCTGGAACAGCCCACTTTCTCCAGATTGTCTGGTCCTAGGTTCTGCATGTGATCCAAAAATGTACTCATTTAAACTTGATTGATGAGTTTATAAAATATTTATCAAGCTCATAAGACAGATACAGTGCAAAGGGCTGGGACGTGAGTCATATTACATATTCAAGATGTATGGTTTTTTGCTTTCAGGTTGACTGTGTGTGTGTTGCAAGGTATTTTCCTATCAAATCCTCCTATATAAACTTATACAAGGTGCTACAATACAAGGTATAGCAAAAACTTTTTGTTCTTCTTTGGTACCTAACTTATAAGATGTGGGAAAACTTAAAATAAATTAATAAATAAAATCAAGTGCACAGAAGTCATTCAGTTGGATTTCAATCCAACTGTCGCACCTTCTCAAGACATTGGTTTTTCTGGGACTTTCCTAGTTTTAGATCTACATCCGGTGAACCCTCTCAGTCCCAGGCAAACACCTAGGAACAGCTTTACTTTCTCTAGAGTCTGAGGGGATTTCAGATCTGGAAATGGGATAGGATTTCAGAATGACCTTCTTGTGCGTTGTCACTAAGCCTGTCTTGTTGTGGGTCCTGCCATGCAGGGTACCGTGTCAAGCTGCCAAGCAGACCTAAAGCTGCCTTTGAATCCTGGGACAGTGTCCACAATAAATCTGAGACAGAAAAAGCCTGGGAAAGTGCAGAAAGGTCAGAGGAAGGCCACTCTGAGGAAGTGGCTTTTGAGCTGCTCACTGAATGAAAAGAAAAAGGCAGCTATCCAGCGATCTGGGGAAGAGCATTAAAGACAGAGGGAATAGCAAGTACAAGGCCCTGAGATGGGGAGAAACTTACAGTGTTAGTGAAAGCAAACCACGCTCGGTGTGGCTGGAGCAGAATGCGAGAGAAGAGGGCAGATGGTGAGTTTGGCAGGGTAGCCAGGGGCCAGCTCACATGTGGTCTTACGGATCTTGCCAAGGAGTTTGGAATCTGGTCTCAGTAAAGACAAGCCTGATGAAGGGGAAGGTTTCAATCCAGTTTGTGTTGTAAAACAGTCACGTGGGCTGCTGTGGGGAGAGTGGACTGTGAGAGAGCTAGAGTGGTATCAAAGAGACCATTCAGGAAGTACCCGCTGTTTGAATCAAGCATATAGTGTCAGACTGGTAAGAGCCCCCTGCCACCATCTGAAGGTACAAGGCAAAGTGCAGGGAAAAAGGGCCTGGGCACAGCAGCTCCTCAACCAGAACCTCCTGTTTCCCATGTCCTACTTTGTAGCTAAAAAACAGCATAGTAACTCAACCTGAGGCTTCACAGAGTCTGTGATGTGAACTCAGGATGACCCCCCCAAAGATAGACACCTAGTACCTAAGACACTGTGACCACATGGCTCTCCACTCAAAGCAGGCAAAATAAGGAGAAATGAGTAAGAAGATGTAGAAAAATGAGCAAAACTGGAAAATGATAAACACTTTTTAGTGCTGTCAGTCCTGAAAGACACTCACTGCCAACCTACAAGCTTTTCCACTCTGCCTGGTCTGATGCTGGAACTGAGTAGAAAACTATTTTCAAGTTCCTTGCTGAGTCTCAGGATTCAACTGCTATACTCCTTGAAATAAATGGGAGTGTGAATGCACAGACAGCCTCCCCAGCGTGGCACATGCACATCTCCTCCATGCCAGGCCATCAGGGAAGTTGGGCTCCAGAGAGGAGCAGAGGCTGTGGTGTATCCCCAGCTTCAGGGCTTTGGTGGCCACAGGTCAGAACTGTGAGAGAAAGAGACAGTGAATTCTTTTATACCTTTCTAATGTCATGCTGCCTGTTCTTCCGGGAACCCCATTTCACTTTTGGACAGGGCATAGGCATATGGACGATGATTCTGGAATAAAACATGGGGGAAACAGAGACAGTGGATTGGTCAGCTGGTGCTAATGAAAACACTCAACCACACTTTGTTAGTCTTCAGCAATACACCCACTCCAACCCCTGTAAAGCCAGGAGATGGGTGAATCACACAGTTCTGAACTCTGATGTAAAGAACATTTAGTTAAGCATGGTTAAGAGCAGCCACCAAACAAATGCTTAAAATAACTTAGGAGAATTGCACAAAGGTGGATCACCAAGAAAGCTGTCAGATGGATGAGTAATGCTGGGAACAAAGAGGGACAATAGGGCAGGCGAGTAAGAAACAAGACCCCAGTGTGGGGCCTAGTGAGCTGAGTCCATGCACAGCTGGGAATTGGTGGTGGGCATGCTGCAGTCACTACGCCAAATGTACCAGGTCAGCAAGGCTCAGGACTCCTGGCCAATTGCCTTTGTGGCCAGTATGTTTGATCTGGCAGGACCAGGGCAGGAGCAGAGATAGGAGATAGGCATCCCGTGATAATACCACATAGCTGTACTATTGACAGTGTGTGAGAATGAGGACACCTGAGAATTGCAGCAGCTGGGAAGTTGGGGGGGGGGGGGTGTTGCCTTCCAACCATCTTTGGGAGAACCTAGATCTAGTCTAGCTGATCACAAGGCATTGTTGGTCAGCACTGTTCTCTCCAACCTCAGTGGCTACAGTCATCTCAGGTGTAATCCTTCAGCCCCAAAGAAAAAGATAAAGATGTCTATAAAGATAATCCTTCTCTGTCTCTCTTTGGTCAGCCTGAGATTACGTTTGTATAAGAAATGAAGATACATGACTGAATCTTTATAGTCCATTTATTTATAGTCCATTTATTTATAGTCCACTGTCACTTTCAACATGGTCATAGATGAAACACTTTGTCCTGATACATTTACCATTGTATTTGATCACCGTTATATTTTATGTCTCCCAGACTGAACTGTGAGCTTCCTGAGGGCAAGGGTGACATCGAACATCCCCAGAATCTAGTGCTTTACCTGGCGTGTAATTGAAATGATAGTCAAGACTGTTGAATAAGTGAATTACTGTGGTCTTGTCCAGGATCGCCTCTATGTTTTTATCTTTATGCTGCTATCACAGACTGCTTCCAAGTGAGACTTTCCTCCTACCTTGACCCTAAATTAGAGGCAGGATGAAGACTTCCAACAAAAAATAAAAAAAATCTCAGAATCTCCAAACTGAGCAATAGACCAAGAATTTGCATGGGAGGTACAGGCCGCTGGGTCATGAGGTTGTACCTGTGTTCAGACCCTTTAATCTTGTTCCTCTGCTTACACAGCTGTGGAAAAACACTCCCTATTATACCTGTATTACAGCTAAAACAGGTGGAACATGCAATTCCTACTTCAATGACTAGGCAAAGGGCTTTTTTTTTTTTAAGTTATGAAAAAGAAGTCTTCCACAACTCTACTTGTTTGTAGATGTTTTCTCTATTATTTGTTGACTTAGTAAAACTTATGATGAGAAATCTGTAAGTTCTACAGTGTTTTAAATATAGTTGTATTTTATTAACAATGCCATTTCTACATTGATTGGATTGTAATATATTTGCGTGGGATATGTTGTTTATTCAACCTGCAGCCAAAGGCTTGGTGATTGTGTGAGGTTTTCAGAAAGCTCACAATGATTGCTTGGTTCCCGAGGCTGGGATGCAACATTCAAAGAAAAAGGTAGATTGGTTGCAACACATAGCTTGACCCCAAACTCAGAAGAAGCCCATTCATATAGGAACCTAGAAAAGTAAGGGAGCTTTGCATCTTAATCTCTTAACTCTTCCTTCTTCAATATCAGCTTTGAGTCTCCCCATCCTTCTGGAAAGGCATTCTTTAGGCTCTCACAATGAAACATTTGCTAACCCCAGTAGGTCTTAGGGACTAGGGACCAGTTCAGAAGTCTTTGGCTTTGACTAATAAAAAACAAAGCAAAAAAAAAAATGTGGGGGAATTTCACATGTGGGTGAGTTCCACGTCTTGTGTATGTCCATTAAATGGCCATAGAAGTGAATTGGAAATTGATGACGTATTCTTAATGGGCACAAATACTTTCAAACTGGTCATATTCATAAGAATATGCACGCACAAACAATTAAGACTTGAAATTAGAACATATTTTTGTTACGATAATTCAAAATATTTTGGGTTCCATGTTTTGGGGCCTGGTGAAGGTGTGCTCTATTGCATTCTAAGGCAGTTCAATTCTTGGTTTAATTCCAATATGGATCCATATTATAACAAAAAAATTTTATCCCTGGCTGGTGTGGCTCAGTGGATTGAGTGCCAACCTGTGCACCAAAGGGTCGCCGGTTCAATTCCCAGTCTCGAGCACAAGCC